CGAGTTTTATTCTTTAGGTTTTTTATGTCTTGCATTTTTTTCTCATTTATTTTAAAACTCTATAGATCAGTTTCTAATTATCTTTACTGTTCTCAGTAAAGAGACCTCAATTTATAAAGTTGTGATAATATATTGTAGAGATCTTTTATATCGATGTTATGGTCTTATTATTAAAACAATTATGATTTCTTCACGTGAATTATCTCTAATACACATCTTTTGTTGTAGTTCTGTTCTTTTTCCAAAATTTGTAGATTTTCAAAAACCAAAGAATCTAGAGAATGCTCAGTTAATGTTGTAGTGTTTAATTTATTGTTTTGTACACTATGTTTGTGTACAACAACCCTTCTATGCTGATATTGGTATGTTTGTCCAATGTATGTTGAACTGCAGTTTTTACAATGCAATCCGCCACCTTTACAACCTCATATACACACACGAAAGGAAGCTCCCATCCACTGTCGACAATACTCCAAACGCTGGTACACAAATACAGAATCGAGCAAATTTACATGAATATTTACCACTAGCACAAATTTTGTAAAATCTTCTAAACCAACAATCATATTAAATCCAATTTAGAATCTATTAATGACTTCTTTTAAAAACTGACGGAAAAACTCTATACATACCACTGTCAAAAATTTTTTCGAGCAATCGAAAATCAGTTTCGGATGAAATTACCGGAAAACGACAATCAGAATCTTACCCAAGAGTTTACGAAGCCCACCCAGGACAGGATCTATGCCATTCAATATCTACAAATATAAAGAGTCAATCTTACTAAGAAGAATAACGAAGAAGAAGAAAATAATTATGCATAGTATATTTTCTGGAGTTTTTAATGTAGTAGTGATGTGTCTCAAATTGTCTTTCCTACTCAAAAGTCAACCTCAACTTCACGTTAGTGAACCATGTTATCTTACTTAATAATCCAACTTAATAAAACAATTACAAAAGAACTGAAACGCGACATTAACAATGGAAAGAGAAGTTAATTAAGCAAGTCATTAAAAACAACAGAGGCCTAAAATGTCTAAGAGCAACACTGGATGTTCAAAAATTATATTAAAATTTAAGACACCAATAAGAAACATTTCTACAAAATCTTATACAGCTCGCAAAGCCAGCCTAATGAATCAACAAAGGAGAAGGTCAGAAACATAAAAAAAGAGCTAAAAAGTAATCAAGCTCCAGGACACTACGGTATAATTACCAAGCTCTTGAAAACAAGCGAGACACTAACAAACAACCTCTTTACTAACAAGTCTATTTAATAGACGTCTCCATAATAGCAAAATTCTTAAAGACTGGAATATGAGTGTAGTAATACTATTACATAAAAAAGGGATAAATGTGACTTAAAAAATTATAGTTCTATATCGTTGCTATTAAGTATACAAACTGTTTATATATATATATATATATATATATATATATATATATATATATATATATATATATATATATATATATATATATATATATATATATATATATATATATATATATAAGCGAGGTTCCTACAGCCTCTGCCGTTTCTCGCATTTCGACCGCCATCGTTTTCTGTCCATCCATTCGTCTTCTCTGATGGCTCTATCTCTCATTATGTGCCGTACATTTTCTTCCCAGGCAACTGAAGGCCTTCCCCTTCTTCTTCTTTGTTGTGGTATGTAATTTAAAGCTTTCTTTGGCCATCTATTTTCATTCATTCGTTTCACGTGACCATACCACACTAGTTGTCTCGTTTCAATTCTATCTACACTGGAATATACAGTATTTGTCCTCCTTCTAATATCTTCATTCCTGATGTGATCTTTTTTGGATATACCACACGCTCTCCTTAGAAAATCCATTTCTACTATTTCTATTCTTTTTCTATCCTTCTGCGTTATCTGCCAAACCTCTGCCCCATAAGTCATAATAGGCTCTACCAAGGTTCGATAGATTGTCAATTTCGTTTCTTGTCTAATATCTTTAGACCAAAGTAGAGAGTTTAGAATGTTTACCACTTTTTTTCCCTGCTGTGTTCTGTTTTCGATGTCTCTTTTGGTAGTGCCTTCTTTAGATATTATAGATCCGAGATATTTATATTCATTGCATGTTTTTGTGTTTCTAATTTCTAACTCTGGATCTTCTTCACCATCTCCTATTTTAAGATACTCTGTCTTTGCCATATTCATATTGAGGCCCCATTTTTCATATTCTTTCTTTAGTTTTCTAAACATGTAGTCCATGTCTTCCTCGTCATTCGCTACGACTACCTGATCATCTGCGAAAAATAAAGCTGTTAGACATTCACCACCGCCTATGTCTATTCCCATTCCGAATACTTGTTTTCTCCACTGCTCTAGCGATGATTGAATATATATTTTAAACAGGGTCGGAGACAGACAACATCCTTGTTTAAGCCCCTTGGTTATTGGAAATGATTCAGATATAAAGTTTCCTTCTTTAACGATACTTCTTGCATTTTTGTATATATTTGCGATAGCATCCACATACTCTCTACTGAGACCTACTTTCGTCAATGTATAAAATAGTTTTTTCAAAGGTACCGTATCATATGCCTTCTCTAAATCTACAAACAATAGGTGGGTAGATAGATTCCTTGCCTTCCGTTTTTCGATTACCTGCTGCAGAACGAATATATTATCAATGCACGATCTTCCTGCCCGAAATCCATTTTGTTCCTCTATGTCTTCATATTCTGATTCAATTCGTTTTTTTATTATTCGACCGTACAACCTCCCCACTGAGCTAGTAACAGTTATTCCTCTATAATTAGAGCAATTGCGTTTATCCCCTTTTTTGTATATTGAGCTGATGTATCCAACATTCCAATCATCAGGGATATTTTGTCCTCTTAAGCATTTATTAAATAGTTTAACCATCATCTCGTGTAATATTTTTAGTCCATACTTTACCAACTCAATTGGGATGTCTCCAGGTCCTGCTGCTTTACCGTTTTTCGATCTTTTGAGGGCATCGCTTAACTCTCCGGTTGTTATCTCAATTATTTGTGTATGTTCAGATATTTCTTCCATTTCGATATCTTGGAATTTACGTCTATCCTCTGTCAATAAGACCTCATAATGCTGTTTCCACTGTTTCAGATCTATTAATTTTAAGTTAGATTTTTCCTTTCCTTCCCTCCGGAGAGACTTTATCACCTTCCACGCTTGCCCAACTCTTGTTCCACCCATATACCTATCCACCTCTGCACATCTTCGATCCCACATCTCATTTTTACTTTTCACTACTTCTCTTTTTACACCTCGATTTAATTTCGTATATACCTTGTGATCTTCCTCCTTTCTCGTTGACATCCATTTCTGATAAGCAGTTTTCTTCTTGTTTACTAACGTTTGCATATTCTCCGACCACCATTCTTGATTTTTTGTTTCATGTTTGTCTTTATACCCCAAAGCTTCACTTGCAGCCTCATGAATGTACTTTTTAAGTTGTTGGTATAATTCTGCCGCTGTTATATTTTCTCGATCCACATTTTGTAATTTTGTGGCCAGTCGTAATTTGTAAAGAAATTTTGTTGAATCTTCTTTTAAGCTTTCTAGGTTATATTTAGGAGATGTTACTTTTTGTCCCTTTTCTTAAACAAACAAACTGTTTATAAGAGTTATAAACAATCGGTTTACTTACAAAATAGATAATTACCAACCGGTTAAACAGGTTGACTTTCGCAAACGATATGGTGTATCAGACCATCTGCTGACAATGAAAACACTGATAGAGAAGTCAAATGGGTCAAATACGACAAATCTAGATATAGGTTATAGAACAAGTCATTAATAATTGTTCACACTCCCATTAAACGACGATTTAGACGGAGACCTAATATCTCAAAAGCTTTTTAATCTAGACCTAGAAGACGTCTTCAAAACTGCAAGTTGGTGAACATATGGCATAAACGTTAATGGCAACAAGTTAAACCATCACAGATTCGCTGATGACATCGTGATTATAGCGAACACATTATAGGAATTACAAACTATGATAAAGGAACTCGGTGGCAGATCCCAACATGTCGGCCTAAAAATAAATATGACAAAAACAAAAACAATGACAAAAACAGACTTCCCAAACGTATAATCATAGATGACAGTGAGATAGAACAAGTTCAAGAATATATTTACCTAGGCCAAATTCTGGAACTTGACAAAGAGAACTAAAGTGCAGAAATCACTAGAAGGGCAAAACTGGCATAAGCAGTATTTGATAAACTCAGTTGAATACCTACTTAAAAACCGCAAATGCTTGAGGAGTAAAATATTTAAGCAGCGCATCCTTCCTATCATGATATATGGATGTCAAAACTGGACCCTGGCCAAGGAAAATATAAATAAACTAACCACAACAATGGAAAGAGCAATATTATGTATACGAGTGTTAGATAAAAAGAGAAACGACTGGGTAAGATAAAAAACAAACGTCGAGGATATCACAACAAAAATTGGCAAACTGAAATTGAGCTTGGCAGGTCACACTGCTAGACAAAAGGACCAACGTTGGAACTTCACAATACAATATTAGAAACCTTACAAAGGTAGACGACCAATACTAAGACCACAGGTGAGGGGAAATTGACATGAGTAAATAGCCGAACAAATTGGAAGAATGTTGCTCAGGATAGAGATCGATGGAAGAAGTTCATAGAGGCTTATGTGCAAAAATTAACATTAAAAAATTAAGAAGAAGACAGAACAAGAAGAAGAAATATCTTTTCCTAAGTGTCTGCTTTTACCGTTATGCTTTTTAATATTTTTGTTAATTCCTATACAATAACTCTACACATTTTGTTTCTATATTTGGTGTTCTCGCTAATTTATTTATTGTTTTTATTTTACTAAAATCGAGAGCTTGTCGTTTGTGCCATATACTTTGTTTTGCTTAGATTAATCATTGAGCCTTTGTTTTTTGTAAAATGATACCCAAAATTTAAGAAATAAAAAAAAATATTTCAAAAATCAAATTTGACTTACTTTCTGGTTTGGTTAATTTTGTGTTCAAATTCATACTCCCACACATTCATTTTTATTGTACTGATTCCTGACAACATCTCTTTGGTAGTCTGCAAACGCTCATCAGTCCTCTTACTAGATTCTAGTCTTAATTTAGACGTCAACTTTCCCAATAAAACTGCAAAAAATTTATTTTTATGCACAGCGAATTAAAAAGAACAATTAAAAATATGTCTTAATGGAGACAACAGACATGACTAATGAAGAGTGAGGCTAGACTTTAAAATGTTGCTATATAAATGACTACAAAAGATAAGCTGGATCCACCAAGTCAGAAATGAGGCAGATGATAGTGAATATAGCAGCCAACATAGTATCCAACGATCGATAGAAGTTCTTAAAGAGAAAAGAAGATGATATACTTAGGATTATGCTACACATATTTTAGACAGGCTTTTATTATTGTTAATTTTAGTTTTCTTTTTCTTTCCATTTTCCCCACTTCTACATTTTTTATGTGTTGAATCAAGGCATTTTTAGAATTCTTCTAATTGTTGGCATTTTAAATGCTTCAGTGGGTTCATAGTATCTAATTTTAGAGGGCTAATTTGTATGCCATATAATAAAAGTGAATACACATAGGTTTTAACAAATAGGTATCTTATGTTTAAATCCGTAGTTAAATTACACCGTTTTTTTTTAATCTCACTTTTACTTATTAACTGTGCCTCCGCTTCGTTAATAATGTTACTTCGTTTATTTCTCCAGAAACTTGTTCCTGTTTTCTGTCAGTAATTGCTTGTAATGTTTTTCCCACTTCTTTTCTCTATCTTTCATTTCTTTCTTTTTAGTTTTAGTAAATTGTCAGGCTTGCACTATTCTACTGCATCTAAGATATTTCTCTACATCTTCACATTCTTGTTCTTATAATTAGTTTGTTTCTGTTTATTATTAGATAGATTTCTCTGCCTTTGGGATCTTTTGTTCTAAACAAAGTCATATATGCCATTTTTTTTTATAATTTTTTTTATCTGATCTGTGATCGTTTCGAGATTTTTCTCTCTGCGTTATCACAATATACTAAAGTCTCCTTTGCTGTTTGTGGTATCCATTTTTTCACTAACTGATACTTCTCTTCTGTTGTTTATACCTTGTCTAGAGTTTCCTGCCAATCCTATCTCTAGAGGGATGATGTAATAATCTTAGAATGTTCAATATTAAATTTTATCAAGGTGAGCAAACGCAAAGTTAGGAATTGAAAAAGAATATATCGGAATAATTGGGAGGCATAAGATACATAGAGACACGAATGAAAACTGACAATATCTTGTTAACTTTGTAGCTAGTAAAAACACGGTTTCAGTTATACTCTATTTTTCCACAAAAACGTACACAAAGGTACCTAAATATCCACTATAGGATATGTTGTGAACCAAAAAGACCACGTCTTGATAGAAAGGTGATCAGCAACAAGAGTATTGGACGTAAAAGGTAGGCGAGGACCAAGCTGCGACTTAGACCACCTACTAGTTCAGAAAAGCGGGAAAAGAAATTCTACATAGGGAAAAACTAAAAAGACCCGTAACTCAAAATAAATTTTAAGAAGAAATGAAAGGAAAGCTAACTGAATATGAAAGAACTGAAGAAAAAAGACTAGAAGACCAATGAAGTAGAATCATATTAACTGTAATAAAATGGATACTAGAAATTAAAGAAGCCAGAGATGACCAATTCCAGATGTCCAGTTTGGAATAAAATTCAGAAAGGAGTTTTCGGCAATACTTTCTCTTGAAGCACTCATTAACCTCTGGGTCTATTGGCTGTTGAAGACTCTTTATATTGGGGACAGAAACAGCAGTTTAATTTCTCTTTCAACACTTAAGACTTTCCTGATGAGCAAGCACGTTCTTAAGAAGTGGAAGTGCTTTTATGGGCAGTTTTAATTTTGTCAAATGTTTTTTCACTTTCGGAACAATTTCGTACATTCCCTAAACAAATATGTATCCATCCATGCTGATTTCTGCGACCGATAATACACTGGGAGAATTTCCATGTTTATGTTCTAAAACGCTCTCGGTTTTGCTGCTGTGCCAATAACAAATAGGGGTATCTTGTGGGCCCCTGAGGTATTTAAACACAAGGCGACTATTATCCTCTCTTTGCTGACTTTATACCCTGCAGCAGATGTTTCTTGCAAGGTGACAAAGATTTTTCTGGACACAAGTTTAAAATTTAACCTAGTTTCGTCGATTTGGGAAAAAAGTTAGTGGTCGCTGTTGGGTCTGCTGACAGCTTCTTACCACAAACTTCAAGAGAATGGAATGTGTTTCATTTTCTACCGGGAGATCCATCCCTCACTAGCTGAGACCGCTCCATATGGTTGAAACTTGGTGCAAGATCATAGCCTTTTCTGTTAGGATTGGTCCACTTAACGGCATTCCTCGTCTTTGTTCTTAAACGAACTACAACCACAGAGTATCTTTAACCAATTCGTGTTATGTTTTCCTCTGTGTGTAATGCTTTTGTGGAATATTTTTGGTTTTAATTTGTGTACAAAAACCTCCGACAGATTTTCTATTACATCTGCAGACAGACGTTAACTGTACTTTTGTCCATGTTTTCTTTATCCAATCTTTCCAAAGTTTATAATCTCTGTTTATAATAATGTAAACTAGTTGAGACTTGCTGCCTGCTCTGTCTGCTCGCGTCTGGCTGACGCTCGTCAAGTGCGTGACTCATGCTCAGAGAGCCGGCCAGCCTAAGCAAAGACCGAACTAGCCAAACTTACGGGAGTCTACTGTATCCTAAATTTTTAGATAATAATTGTGTCAAGTTTCTCTAAAAAGTCTAATTGGAATTCACAAGTAATCACTCTATATATTTGAATTGCTATTCAGAGGGAGGCAAATATAACTAAACTATTAAAAGTACTAGTTTTTATACAGTGAGTAAGTACCAAATGTCTAAAAAAATTTTATACGTCTGTTTTTATTTACCTTGAGCAGGAATAACTAAAAGGAAGAATCCAATTCCAATCAAAGACCCAACGCCCATTTTGTTAAATATTAAATAAAACACAATAACCGCTTGCACTATTCCCACCCACACGTCATTGAAATAGAAAATAAAGTTTTCTATCGCTGCTACATCTTTAGTCATCAAAGTTACAATTTTTCCTGAGCTCACTTCTAACAGCGATTTCTGGGTCAGTCGTAGGGATTTTCTAAATATTGCGGAACAGAAGGCTGTTCGTACTTTGATTCCCAGTTCTGATAGAACCAGAAGGTAGTTGTGGAGGTAAGTCACACTCAGAAAATTCAGGAGTACAAGTAGTATGGCACAGTATATGGCTGAGGTTTTGGATAGTTCTTCTTGACCAGGTTGAAAGTACTTGATAACTTTGGATAACGTCAAAGGGATAGTTATTCTAAAAATTATTTAAAATTATTAACTATTATAACTAATCAATTGTCGTAAAACCCAAAATATAACAATATGTAACAAAAAATATAACATAAATATAACAAAATATCTAGATGTAAATGAAAGGAATGTTCAGTAATGGAGCCAGTTAGCAGTGCCGATGAAACTTCTGAGCTGCTTGTCTGATCTGGATTTTTCGGAAGCCTCTAATTCTCTCGCAGTGTTTGTCCAGAGGTTGAGTATGCGGAAACGCAGGTTGACAAGGTCATATGTGCGGAGACGTTCTGTAAGGAGGTTGAGGTGTTCCCAGTGGTGATCCCAGTTGTCGAAATAGATTATGAAGTCATCCATGGACAACTTCACGATTTCGTCAATAAAACCAGTGAAAACGGGGAATACCAGTATCTCATTTTCTGATCCCTCGAGTAGGCTGAAGGCTTTCAACGGGATTTCAAAGACTTCGTTGACTGTCATCTTATTGAGTTTACAATAGTCAAAACAAAAGCGAGGGGTGCCATTTTTTTTCTTGACCACGCCGGTATAGAGTGATTGGCTGAGTCGGGTGCATCTGTCAGTTGATTTCCAACACCGTGTCTCGGGTGGTGGGTTGCTTCAACTTGTCGTTGAAGATGTTTTGTCGAGAATGTAGGTAGAGATAATTTAGAGAAATACAAGAAATGGTATAAAGAACGGACTCTCTTATGGTAAAAACGAAGGATGATCGTGGCTAACATAAGGTAGAATTCCCAAGCCCTGCCGCAGTCTATGCTCTACTGGGATCGGAGAGGAGTGTTACCTGTTACCTAATTACCGAACTCCATAAACGGAATTTACTTTTCAACCGAATAGACAGCGACTCAGGTAGTGTATATACAGTACATTCTTATTTCTGCATTGATTGTCCTCCTTTTGTGCAAAGAGGTAAAATCTATATTTTACAAGCTGTAAAGGATTTTTAGATATAAGAATCCCAAGAGTACCTATATAGTAATACATCTGGAATTTTAATGTATTGTGTTGTAATGTGTGAGAACACATTAATTCCAACTTAATAAACATGCATTCACTTACATAACTATGGATCTAACAGTCACTTGTATCATTCCTAGTACAAAATACTTTAAGCCATAGCATTTACATAATATTCGAAAAATAGACAAATATCCATGATTTTTTATGTCATCTTTAATACATTTTTCGACTTCATTTCCGGCTTCTTCTGCTTTGCATTTCTTGAGTACTTCATAAAGTTCATCCTCTTCGAAAGTTCCTCTTTTGTGAGTTTTCCAAAATATTGGCAAGGTGTATCTGAAAAAGAAAAATGTTTTAATTTCTGTTTTAAAGAACAGAATCAAAAAACATTTGATTAATTTAACTAATAAAAATAATAATAATATAATATAATAGTAGTAATAGCCCCACCCAATTAAGTCGTGGAAACCCATACTTTGAAATATTTTTATATGCTAATATTTTGTGCAGCAACATCAATTGTTATAGGAATTAACCTTTGAGTAATCGACTACATGCAAATTACATGAACAGTCGGGTGGGGTCTGCGAGGCCCAGTTTGTATTTTACACAATACATTAGAAAATATTAAAGTAAAGCTATTTTATATACGTACAATCTTTTTTTATTTCTTTTTTAATATATGAGGACCAGACTTTCAAATCGCACTTTGTCCATATTTTCACTTTTTGACTTAGAGGTGGCGTTGGATTAGTCAAAACATCATTTATTAATTTACATAATCCTAGATATTCTAAACGTAATATTTCGCGTATATTTTTGGCTTCAAAGCATCACTTAGACAAACAAAACGCATTTTGTCCAGTAGCGAGAGACAAACAAATAGCGCTATTTTGCTTACATTGCTTTTTTACTATTTAACGACTTTATTTTGCTCTGAGACGTTGATTTAGGAATCAACAGTATCTGATATTATTCGTGCTTAATAGGTTGTTTTTATAATAATCATAGGTGATAATAGTATTAAAATGAGTGAAGGTGAGCATATTGTAGGTGATACAAATAGAGGAACAAGAAAAAGAAAAATAAATACTACGGCAAAAGAATGTACGAGAGAAATAAGGTAAACTACAGGTTATGTTGTGTTTCTGTGGTTTAATTTGTTTTCTTTTAGATATTCAGATTTAGATCCAGAGTTATTGAATTTTAAAAATAATTGTGTTCACAAATCAAAAAAATTTGCATGTACAGATCTTTTGTTGGCCGACATAAAAATTATTAGACATAATTTCTATGATAATGAAGAAAAGAACAAAAATGCTCAGGATAACAAATTAGCACAGATGATGAATATTAAGGACATAAAAAGGCAAAGGAAGAGAAAGAATGATAAATCACATGATTTTCACACAGAATTTTATGTAAGTTTTTATTTAAATAAACCAAGCTTTAGCATCAGTACATATTTATTTTTAGATTACACTTTGTAAGGTCTCTGATTAAGTATTTTTTAGGTTTGGCATAATAGCAAGAAAATCTTTGTTTGCCAAAAATTATTTTCCTCTATTTTTAATTGTGGTCCAAGAAGAATTCATACGATAGTGAGAAAAAAGATGCTTGGCACTAGTATAAAAGACAATCGTGGTGAAGACAGAAAGTCCAAGAAAAATGCGCTTAAATTAGAAAGTGTCATGAAATTTATTTCGTCTTTGAAGGGCCATGAAAGCCACTATGGTAGAGGCAAGTCAAGAAGAATCTATTTGTCACCTGAGTTAAACATAAAAAAGCTGTGGGAGATGTATAATGATCAGATTCCAGATAATTCACTCCAAACAAACTACAAGTACTTTAGTCGAATTTCCAGCAATAAGTTTAATATAGGTAGATATTATTAAAAAAATGTTTTTTATTTTTTACTAAGTTGCCCGTTTGTTTTAGCCTTTGGAAGTCCAGCTACTGATGTTTGTGGCTTTTGCATAAGAACAAACACTGAGATAAATACCACCAAGGATGAAGAGCAAAGATTAAAATTAAAAATGGATTTAACTATTCTAAACTTAAAACTTTCTAAAAAAGACTGACTTTGACCCAGATATTAAACATTTAAGATTGTTTTCGGACGGATGTGGGGGTCAAAATAAAAATTCCAACATGGTACATGCACTCACCTTGTGGCTTTTGAATAATGCCCCAAAAACTATTCAAACACTTACGATGACATTTCCCGTTCGTGGCCATTCGTTTATGCCAGCTGATCGAGTTTTTGGTTAAGTTGAGCTAGACTTACGTGCCCATGCTTTTATAAAGTCACCAGAAAAATATTATGAAATCTATTCTAAGAAAGGACAAGTGCGCAAGCTGGGATCTGATTGGATTTTGTATGACATAAAACATGCAGCACTTTCACTCAAAAAAGTTATAGGTATCAGTGGTGCCAAAAGAATAATCATAACTCGAGGCAAACAAACTGCTGGGGAAAGTAAAATCTTGTATAAAACAGAGGTTTTATACAGAAATAATGACAATTCTAAAAAGTTTTCAAGTTTAATTCAACCAAAGAAAAAACCAAGTGACATAGTACTGCCGGAATTGCCAACGAAGCATGCTGTTAAGAAGAAAAAACTGGATAGCTTACCAAAATTTTTAGTTAGTCTATCAGGCAAAGAATGGGCATTAGATCCAGAAATAACTTGGTTAGATCCAATTTTGAAGGATCAGTATGGTGAAAATGTAATTGAAAAGAACCAGACCTGCGATCAATGTGAAGATGGAGAAGAATGCTGCTGTCTTCTGGAGGACGACATACATGTCATATGATTTTTTTTACTACAGATATTGCTTTACAAACACGAATTTTCAGTTCATATTTTGATTTTAATCACTTAGGGAAAATAAAACCACATTTTGTCCTTCAAAGACAATCAAATGGCGTTTTGTCCATCATTAAAATTTTTTTTTGAAAAAACTAATAAAGCTTGTTGTTTATTATAAATAGGGTAAGTTGATAATAAAAAATTACATTTTTTCATATTTTGTGTTTTATTTTTAACTTTATTAATAATCGAGTAGCAGTTTTTCTCATTTCCTGAAAAATTTTAAAAATGGACAAAGTGCGATATGACAGTCTGCTCCTCATATCTTAACCATTTTAAACCCAATGATAAAATACACAACATCTTTAAGAAATTGCAAAAAAAATGAACAAAAATGTACTTCTCTTACATTTAACAAACAAAATTCTAATCCTAATTTCAATTTTCATTGCGGTCTTCGCAAATAGGTTTAACATGACATACAGAAGTTAAAACACTTTACAATTGTATTTAGGTATAAAAAACATATAGTTAAAACTGTTAAAAAGTGTAGTCAAAATTTATACAGTAGCATAACGTTTTCGATCTAATCAGATCATCCTCAGTGCCTTCTTATGTAGTTGAAGGTATCACTAAATTTTTGGCGGTGACATTCATATATAGGTTTCCATCATTCCAAATTTAAATTATATTGTGACTCTAGGTCGATGACATTGGATCAAAATTTATATTTCAGGAGCTACATGTCTCCTTGCTCGGTTTTTAACACGTGGTACTTGTCAATTAAAACGAGTTGGTCTATGTCGTCAATTGGTCAAAAACATTTCTTATTAGTTCAAGTTTGTATATGGTTCTTCTTTCTTTCTCTACTATTTCCATCTGATACGTCAAAACGCAAGCAACGTAGCAAGAATACAAATCAATTATGAGCCATAGTAGCTCGAAGCACCTCTTCGTGTTTTCCATCACAAGCCCAAAATTCTTTGCAATTTCAGGCAGCTTGCTTTGAAACCCCCAGCTAGGTATAATATACCAATTGACGCCTTTATTTACATAGTATTATATAATATGTTTGTGTTCTATACAATGGTTTCGATAATATTATCATCAATAAAACATTTCCAACACTCTAAAGGATCAACTGCTTGACGACCATTTCCTTTTGAACCTGATAAGTATGAAATTAAATTAGTTTTTGTCCGAACATTCTTTGGAGGCGCATGTTTTCTCCAGTATATCCCATCTTTTGCATAATAAAAGAGCCGCCGGTTTTCCGTATTTGTTTCAAAATATTTTGAAGTTGCAGGTTCCTCCCCAATTCTTTCTCCAATTTTGCTTAAAATTCTTCCTCCCATTCTTCTTGTGTATCTTTCCCGCTTTCCAAATTAATAGTTTCTTCTTATACTTCATCATAGAGCTGTTATAATCTTTAAATTTCTTTCAGAAAGGATCCATCACTGAAATCTGAAATACAATATACTGAAAAATATTAAAGGCTGGAATATTACTATATTTATATACAACCATAGGAATTAAAATACTTACTCTATGTAAGTTATACTTCACAAAAAATGGGAAAATATATTTACTTGTCCAACTCACAAAAGTTACTTGAATAGTTGGGTAGAATCTGACAGACCAAAAGTGCAAATAACAGCGAACTATTATAAACTAATGCAAAATCCATTGTTGACTGTTGTTCGACTTGGACACGGACAGATACTGGTGAACGCAGCACCCTTCGGCACAAAATAAGCAGTAAGGCTTTAGAACTAAATTGTCGCTGATCTCACAGGCCAGACCCGACTACTCAATTGTTAAGATCTGAACAGGATGAGTTACTAAGATCGGAATGACTGATGAAGTACTTACACTTGGGACAAACGACTGCAAAGGAAGATTGAATTATTGCGTAGGAATAATGATTACATTATGGAATATATTCGAAGAATAAAAAGTAGAAAAGTAATCATAAAACTGAAGAAATAATGCTAAGCAGCTACAACATGATCAAGAAAATAACACAACATAGCAGTGCCTGGGTACATCAAAACAAACAAAAACTCGTTTATTATATACTTTTTGAGCATTCAGGGAAGACGTAATATAGAAATCTCAATTTTACTGTATAAAGTGCCAATAACAAGCCAAAAATTCACGAGTTTTGAGAAAATCGAGGTGCTTTCAACAACAGCTACTACCAGTACTACTTCCTAAAAACCCCTTGCTACTGAAGAAATCTCAAATATTGTCAAAAAGGTTATGAACACTAGAAATAATGAGAGAACACTATAACACTAGAAGGTTATTATCACTAGAAATAATTTCATCTCAATAATTTCAACCAAAACTATGTGGACAATATAGCGTCGAACTATTGATTGACATCAGAAAAGATGTTTCTTGAAACATAAGGTTTATTACTCGTCATTCAGTATCAGGTTATTTCAACCAAAAACTACCTGAAAGATATCAAAGACCCTCAGGTCCAAAACAATAAAGGCCGATATAAATTTGAAGCTC